ACCTATTATCTAAAATTAAAATACATAAACATAAGATGTAAAGCATATCCAAATGAGAATTTAAAAATAAAATCAAACATATAAAACATTTTCAAGCATGTAAAACCTCTAATCTCCTTTTTCACTCAATTGCATTACTTCAAGTAGCTAATGTAATGTAAAACATTACATTCCTGATTCTACAAGCCGCCTTTCTGCCACGCCCATCGAGGCAATCCCAAACAAGTCCACGTTAGGTCTTAAATTCTTAGTTCTCAGGCAAAAAATGGTGATTTTATAGTTTTAACGGCTTTTTAACAAGATATTTTATTACAATGAATGAATGAAGCATCAAATTTTCAAAAGGCACTATGTTCAAAAAAAGCAAAAAGGCGTCAAATTTTCAAAAGGCGCACACCTGGGCTGAGGCGCAAGGCGCATCAGGAGCACGCCTTTTGAAAGGGCTGCGCCTAGGACCTAGGCGAGGCGCATACCCTAAAATGCGCCTCGCCTGTGCGCCTAGGTACGCCTGAGACGCACCTTTTAAATCACTGTACAAACCCACTTGGACATCCTTCAGATTCCAAATGTAACTTTGAATCTGATCCAGATGGATCCATCAATCCAAAAACTCACTGGAAATAATATTGTAATAAAAAAAGAGGTAAAATAACCTCAAATCAACTGACCTTCAATCAGTTTGCATTCACCAACCAAATTTTCACTAACCCTGGACCCCAGGAGAAACTGTAGAAGATGCAGCCACTCGGCCCACTCCTACCAGTAATCACAGATCAGTCTGCCTCTAAGATCAATCTCAATAGAGGCCTAAGAAAGTCCTAGAGACCCCCAAATTCCAATCTCAGTCCTCCCCTAGAAGGTGCAAACATAAACTGGTCTCTTTCTCTCAGGTTGGATAAATCTACGGCACAGCACTCCAGGTCTTCTTCCGGGCAATGAAACAGCACTATTTACTCTCCTAGAATTTCTTCCAACCAGACAATAGCATAAGAAACGGATCCTAGGAGTATGGAATCAAAAAACAAAAAAAAAGGGAAAAAGAAATCCGCTCTGATACCAAGTAATTGTCCCTGAGAGCAGTAATCGTGTGGATTTAATCAGAAAAGAAAGGTAAAAAGAAGAAGAAAGATAGCTCAGAGTAGTAGAAGAGAGGCAGGAAAGAAACAAAGAGAGAAAGTTTTGGTTCGTAAGCCTTCTAATTGAAATATTCGACCATGACAGCAGTAATTGATCAGCCCTTCTCATTGATATATTCGACTATATAACAAATAAAAGTGTCATTACAAATATACCTCCTAAGTGGTCGCTGTAAATAAGACATAAAATAAGTAGGCAGGTGGTAGGCCCATTACACTAAGGCCCAACAATAAAAGAATAGAAACAAGGATATTAAGGCCCAAGCAATTCAGCATGTCCTCAATGCAAAAGACAAAAGCCCTTCTACCGGATGGATTCCCAATCAAGTTTTACCAAGAGTATTGGGGAATAATTAAGAGTGAGATTCAAGAATCAAAATTTGCAAATCTTGATGCAAGATGGATTAGAAGCATTTGGAAACAAAAAAATAATATTAAATGGACAATGTTTCCATCATGGGGATAACAGAACGCATTTCATTCAAATTCAGAAAGGCACTTCTGACAAAGAAAGAGCCAG